CCCCCCTGGTCACGGCCGACAAATGATCTTCCAGTGTCAGCCGTGGATCCAGGAGGACTCCCAGATTGCGCACCCTCTCTGAGGGGGCCAAGGATTCGCCCCCTATAGACAGCGATGGAACCAGCTGACTATGCCGGGGCGCCGGCAACCACAGCCACTCGGTCTTGGAAGGGTTGAGTCTAAGTCTGTTCCTTCCCATGCCTGAAATAAGAGAACCGGTTGTTCAAGTATTTGAATTCCACCACTGGACACACTTAATGACCGTGGCAATTCACATAACAACCACCACATTCACATTACGACCGTGGTATTCACTTAACAACCACCGCAAAAATGAGATTGTAAAATCAGGTTGGTCTCATGAATACCTTGACTTATAACCGTGAGGACTTATGATGAAAATTCCAGGCTCCATTAGACCTATTTGACAAAAAGTACCATCCGACAGAGATGTTGTCCTATTTCTGTACTTCTGATATTTTATTCTCATCTCTCTTCTGTCCCCCTGCCCTAGGTGAACATCCACATTGTTGAACCGCAGGGGATTAGTTTTGTCAACGTTCCTAATGCGCTTGGTGAGCAGTTTATTGATGCAACTATAGTCAACAAAGGAGAGAAAAAGGTAAAACGAATTATTCTTTGAGGGGAAAAAAAGAATCTTCGGCTATGACTACTTAAGAATCCAAGCTGGATTGGTATCCAGCGAGGAGTCCAAAAAAAAATCACGATGGTGTTTGATTTTCTTTCTCCTTCCCCCTTACTCCGCAGATGCTTCTGGTTGAATTGGAGCAGAGATGTTAGCTTTGATTTTTAAGATTGAAACTGAAATGTCTATGGAGATGCTCAAATCATCCAGGTCATGGTTGTCCCCAAAGTGCTTTTTCAAACAGAAACTGGATTTTGTTTTTTCTTGAAGACGTTTCACTTCTCATCCAAGAAGCTTCTTCAGTTCTGACTGAATGGTGGAGGATGGATACACCTCCAAGTGGCCTCAGTGACTCTCAGAAAGAGTGCTAATGACCAGATGGCTGCAAGGAGTATAAATCCTCCCATTCTCCGCCATTCAGTCAGAACTGAAGAAGCTTCTTGGATGAGAAGCGAAACGTCTTCAAGAAAAACAAACGAAGTCCAGTTGCTTTTTGAAAAAGCACTTTTGAGTTGGAAAGTGCCTGAGACTAATATATAGGCTTGGATCTTTGAGAATTCTGCTGCAAACTGGCCCATGTTACAATTCCTCCAGAAATGTGTAAATTCGAACGTAGCTATTTTTCAGATTTCATGTTATTTTGCAGAAGATTGTATCAAAAGAAAGAGGGAAATGCACTTAGGAATAAAGGTCTGGAAGGAAAATGCAACCGAATATGAATATATAAGCGCGATCTGTAAGCAGATTAAGTTATCAGGGGTAGGCTTGCAAATTAATTTGGAAACAGGATAAAAATAAGGTATTCTCACATTAACAGTGTATACCAAGGGTAGGCAACCTTGGCTCTTTTATGACTGGTGGACTTCAACTCCCAGAATTCCTGAGCCAGCATGGCTAAGCATGGAAACCTCTCCCTTTCCGCTCAGCGTGGCTGGCTCAGGAATTCTGGGAGTTGAAGTCCACCAGTCATAAAAGAGCCAAGGTTGCCTACCCCTGGTGTATACAAACAAATTAATAGTCATACAAACTGGAAATCTTCTGAATATTCTTATCAGATTGTATAAACTAAACAGGGAACATCTTACCTAATGTATAATTAATACTGTTTTTGCTTTTTGCTATTCTATTCTTGTTCTTGAGTAAGGTTATGCATCATTTTAAATGACCACATTCCATTATTGAACAGGTTCTCACCTTATTTTACTTAATTTTACTTAATTTTCAAAAGCAAGAGTTGCAAAATTAATTTCAGCACTTCCACAGTTGTTTTGCTGTTTTCCCTTTGTAATCCCTGTGTGGATTGGAAGGGAATTTGGGGAATGAAGGAACAGAATCCTCAGAAGTAAAATATGCCATAGTTTCCAATACTCAATATACTATTACTTGCAGTCCTTGACTTACGACCATTCATTTAGCGACCGTTTGAAGTTACAATGGCACTGAAAATGTGATTTATAACCAGTCCTCATACTTACAACCATCACTGCATCCTCACTGTCACGTGATCAAAATTTGGGAGTTGGGCAACTGGTGTGCATTTATGATGGCTGCAACATTCCGTGGTCTTGTGATCGCCGTTTGTGACCTTCCCAGCTGGTTTCCAAGAAACAAAGTCAACAGCAATAACACTTAGCACTTAGACTTATATACCGCTTCATAGTGCTTTACAGCGGTTTACAGAGTCAGCCTATTGTCCCCCAACCATCTGGGTCCTCATTTTACTGACCTCGGAAGGATGGAAGGCTGAGCCAACCTTGAGCCGGTCAGGATCAAACTGCTGGCAGTGGGCAGAATTAGCCTGCAATGCTGCCTTCTAACCACTGCACCACCAAGGATCAATGGTGAAAGCTGGATTTGCTTAATAGCCACAAGATTTGCTTAACAACATGGCAAAAACAGTCATAAAATCAGGTGCTAGTCATTTAACTACTGTCTTTGTTGTTGTTAATTGCGAAGTCGTGTCTGACCCATCGCGACCCCATGGACAACATTCCTCCAGGTCTTCCTGTCCTCTACCATCTTCTGGAGTCCATTTAAGTTCATGCCTACTGCTTCAGTGACTCCATCCAGCCACCTCCTTCTCTGTCGTCCCCTTCTTCTCTTGCCCTCCATCTTTCCCAGCATTAGGCCCTTCTCCAGTGAGTCCTTCCTTCTCATTAGGTGGCCAAAGCACTTGAGTTTCAACTTCAGGATCTGGCCTTCTAAAGAGCAGTCGGGGTTGATCTCCTCTAGGACTGACCGGTTTGAACGCCTTGCAGTCCAAGGGACTACTGTCTTACTTAGCGGTAATTCTGGTCTGGTCTCAATTGTGGTTGAAGACTATCTATATACACGATGGCTTTGCATTGCATTGAGCTGGAAGGATAAATGAAAGGCACAGTAAACATCTGCATAAATCAATAATGTTATAGGTAGACACCAGGAACAGGAAGGATGAGATCATTGAAAATAGTTAAATGCTGATTTAACATTCAAACGTTGCTTGTAGCTCATATAGAACAGTCCCCTAAACTAAGGTGCCTTTAGATCCGTATCTCACTTTATCTGTTCTTTTTTTTTTCTTTTGCACTTTAAGGCACACGTGTCCTTCAAACCAACCTTAGCCCAGCAACGAAAGTGCTCCAATTGTACCACTACAGCTGTGGATGGCAATCTGGTGGTGACCTATGATGTCAAAAGGGATACGAAAGCTGGAGAGCTGGAGGTACTTGGCTAAATGTCTTGAGTGCTTGGAATGGGGGAAGATCAAGTCAGATCTGAACAGGGGATAGGCCAGTGGTGGCGAACCTATGGCACGGGTGCCGGAGGCGGCACTCAGAGCCTTCTCTGTGGGCACACGCACCCTCACCCCAGTCCTAGGCCTTCAGCTGGGTTTTATAAAACCTTTTCACTTTAGGCCTCCGCTGCCGTGTGCAAAAAAAAAAAAGGTTCAATCAGTCAATTTCAACTTCTCGCGGGAAAAAAAAGGATCTTGCAAAGTTGGAACTGATTGATTGAACTTTTTAGTCCCACCCAGTCTGCCGTTACCACCACAGCCACGCCCAGCCAATGGGCCACACCCAGCCAATGGGCCACACTCACCCGGCACTCGATGCATAAGTGGGGTTTGGGTTGTAGTTTGGGCACTCGGTCTCTAAAAGGTTCGCCATCACTGGGATAGGCCAAGAGACTCAAGATCTAGGGGAGAGGGCCCATAGTTCGTGTAACAAGCAAATGATGACATTTTAAGAGCCATTCGCCTGCTACCATTCTGAGAAAATTTTTTCAAGAAGTCATTCACAGGGAGGGAGGGAGGGAGGGAGGAAGGAAGGAAGGAAGGAAGGAAGGAAGGAAGGAAGGAAGGAAGGAAGGAAGGAAGGAAGGAAGGAAGTGAACTGCATCCAGTTTTGGTCACCGCGATGTAAAAAAGACGTTGAGACTCTAGAAAGAGTGCAGAGAAGAGCAACAAAGATGATCAGGGGACTGGAGGCTAAAGCATATAAGGAACGATTGCTGGAATTGGGTATGTCTAGTCTAATGAAGAGAAGGACGAGGGGGGACAGGATAGCAGTCTTCCAATATCTGAGGGGCTGCCCCAAAGAAGAGGGAGTCAAGCTATTCTCCAAAGCGCCTGAAGGCAGGACAAGAAGCAACGGGTGGAAACTAATCAAGGAGAGAAGCAACCTAGAACTAAGGAGAAACTTCCTGACAGTGAGAACAATTAACCAGTGGAACTACCTGCCTCCAGAAGCTGTGAATGCTCCAACACTGGAAGTTTTTAAGAAGAGACTGGACAGCCATTTGTCCGAAATGGTGTAGGGTTTCCTGCCTGAGCAGGGGGTTGGACTAGATGACCTCCAAGGTCCCTTCCAGCTTTGCTATTATTATTATTATTATAAGAAAGAAAGAAAGAAAGAAAGAAAGAAAGAAAGAAAGAAAGAAAGAAAGAAAGAAAGAAAGAAAGAAAGAAAGAAAGAGAAAGAGTTGCAAGAATTGGGTATGTGTAGTTTAAGGAAAAGAAGTACTGAGGCTGACATGACAGCAGTGTTCCAATATTTGAGGGGCTGTCACAAAAAAAGAGAGGTTCAACCTCTTCTCCAAAGCACCAGAAGGCAGGACAAGAAGCAGTGGATGGAAATTAATCAAGGAGAGAAGCAGCCTAGACTAGAGCTAAGGAGAAATTTCCTGACAGTGAGAACAATTAATCAGTGGAACAACTTACCTCCAAAAGTTTTGGGTGCTCCATCACTGGAGGTTTTTAAGAAGAGACTGGACAGCCACTAGTCTGAAATGGTAGAGCAGTATCTGTCTATGGATGAATAGATCAAGCAAAAATGCTTGAGCAGGGGGTTGGGCTAGAAGATCTCCAAGGTCCCTTTCAACTCTATTATTCTGTTATTGGGAAGGAAGGAAAGAATGAATGAATGAATGAATGAATGGAGGGAGGGAGGGAGGGAGGAAACCTACATACAGACATATGCAAAAGATTCCTCTCCGCAGGAAACCTCTAGTTTTAGGGTTCTTTTAGAAATCCATTGGTAAGAAATCCTGTCCTTCTAACCTTGTTTTCCAGGTCTTCAATGGGTATTTTGTCCACTACTTCGCTCCGGATGACTTGGATCCTCTGCCAAAAAATATCCTGTTTGTCATTGATGTCAGCGGCTCTATGTGGGGAATAAAAATGAAACAGGTAAATGCAAAGTCCCAAGAAGAGTTGAAATTCCTGCATGTAAAGTCTAGATTAGGATTGCGAAACTGTGGTCCTTTTTATGACTTGTGGACTCTTCCTTCCTTCCTTCCTTCCTTCCTCCCTCCCTCCCTCTTCTTCCCTCTCTCCCTCCCTCTTTTCCTTCCTTCCTTCCTTCCCTCCTTCCCTCTTTTCATTCCTTTCTTCCTTCTTCTCTTCCTTCCTCTCTCCCTCCCTCTTTTCCTTCCTTCCTTTCTTTCTTCCTTCCTTCCTTCCTGCCTTCCTTCCTTCCTTCCTTCCCTCTTTTCCTTCCTTTCTTCCTTCCTCTCTTCCTTTCTCTCTCCCTCCCTCTTTTCCTTCCTTCCTTCTTTCCTTCCTTCCCTCTTTTCATTCCTTCTTTCCTTCTTTCCTTCCCTCCTTCCCTCTTTTCATTCCTTTCTTCCTTCCTCTCTTCCTCTCTCCCTCTTTTCCTTCCTTCCTTCCCTTTTTTCTTTCCTTCCTTCTTTCCTTCCCTCCTTCCCTCTTTTCATTCCTTTCTTCCTTCCTCTCTTCCTCTCTCCCTCTTTTCCTTCCTTCCTTCCTTTCTTCCTCCAGAATAACAGGATTGGAAGGGACCTTGGAGATCGTCTAGTGGAGGTCTCTATACTGGCTCAGGAATTCTGGGCGTTGAAGTCCAGAAGTCATAAAGGGCCCATAGTTCCCCACCTAGAAAATTACTACCATGGTCCAAGTCTCTCTCTCTCTCTCTTTCAATGAATTGATCGAGAGAAAATGTGTCTCATTTCACAAAATATGCGGGAATAATCGATTTCCTGAGTGTGCACTATATCTGGAGTCCTGTGCTGCCCATATGGGCTGGGTTCACACAGCGATGAAGATCCCAGCTCAGGTTTAGCATGTTTTGTGAATGGAGTCACTAGTTTAGGCATCTGTGGAAGGGGCCAAATGAAGATACCATTGTGTGATGCCGCCACACAAATGAGGTAACCATATCTGCATCAGATGCCTTGATGCAAGTATATCATCACATTGTAGGTGGGTTATAATTGTGATGTCATAATGGATTTAACCGATACTAAGTCTTTATCTGCCCTAATGAAATATGTTGTGTAGAACACAGTAAAAAAGATCTGGGTGAGAAAAAGGGCAGAGGATGCCCCGGTCTTGCCCAGAGCTGGACAATATCATTGGATATCTCTCCCAACTTATACAGATAGTCCTTGACTTACAACCACAACTGAACCCAAAATTTTCGTTGCTAAGTGAGACAGTTGCTAAGTGAGTTTTGCCCCATTTTACGACCGTTCTTGCTAAATGAATCGCTGCAGTTAAGCTAGTAACATGGTTTTTAAGTGAATATGGCTTCCCCACGGACATTGCTTGTTAGAAGGTCACAAAAGAGGATCACGTGACCCCGGGACACTGCGACCGTCATAAATACAGGCCAGTTATCCACCATTCAAATTTTGATCACGTTACTACGGGTGTGCATGCTGCAATGGTCGTTAAGTGCGAAAAATGGGTGGTAAGTCACTTTTTTCAGTGCCGTTGTAACTTGGAATGGCCACTAAATGAACTGTTGTAAGTCAAAGACTATCTGTAGTATGGAAGGTGACGAAGGGTTGATTAAATATGTTTTGTGAAACGCTCAATATGGGCTAAATATTGAGGCCATCTTCATCAATCATTCCTCCATTGTGGCTATTTCAGATTTTTTTTCCCCTCCCATTTTCGCACATATTATAGCTGACATTTTACAACAGGGATCATAAAAAGTAGCCATGTTTCCAATGAGGCAGACTGTGAGGGGCAAAAGTTTATAAAGTTTTAATCTGATTTTATCTGACGTTTCAGACTGTGGAAGCTATGAAGACCATCCTGGGCGACCTCCGATCCGATGACCAGTTTTCTATCCTGGACTTCAACCACAATGTCCGTTGCTGGAGAGATAATTTGGTTCAAGCCTCCAAAATGCAGATAGATGCAGCCACGAATTACGTTGAGGGAATCCACCCCAATGGAGGTGAGCGAGAGACACCCAAGGAAATGTAAGGATTTATTAAAAAAAGGAAGCCCTCTGTTTGGAAAGTTTACGCAACTTTGGGGACGCGAGGCTTCCCTGAATTAGTAAGAGTTCAGTCGCTTTTGTATTAACCTCTCCTGGCTTTCCTCAAAGAAGCCTGGAGAATGTGGTCACTGAGACGATTGAGACTTTGTGGAGAAATTATTGACCCCAATCATATTATTTGCTCAGAACTGGGCCTGTAAGTCTGTATTGCCCCAGAATAACTATCCTACTAAGCTCCTCCTCCTCCTCCTCCTCCTCTTCTTCTTCTTCTCCTCCTCCTCCTTCTCTTTCTCCTTCCCCTTCTCCTTCTCCTTCTCCTTCTCCTCCTTCTCCTTCTCCTTCTACTTCTCCTTCTTGTCCTTCTCCTTCTCTTTCTCTTTCTCTTTCTCCTTCTCCTCCTCCTCCTCCTCCTCCTCCTCCTCCTCCTCCTCCTCCTCCTCCTCCTTCTCCTTCTTCCTCTCCCTCCTCCTCTTCTTCTTCTTCTTCTTCTCCTCCTCCTCCTCCTCCTTCTCCTTCTCCTTCTCCTTCTCCTTCTCCTCCTTCTCCTTCTCCTTCTCCTTCTACTCCTTCTCCTTCTTGTCCTTCTCCTTCTCTTTCTCTTTCTCTTTCTCTTTCTCTTTCTCTTTCTCTTTCTCCTTCTTCTTCTT